GACAGGAGAGAGGCAGGAGCAGAAAGAACGGGCACAGGGAAGCAAGAAAGAAAGAGAGAAAACAAGTTGAGAGAGGAGAAAACTCAGTGCAGGTGGACAAGGAGCAGAACTGCTGCAAGTAGGAGCTGCCAGGACGCATCTGTTCATCCATTCCTTGTGCTTCCTTGCACGGTCACCTCGTGCATCACCGCGAGCCAGGCTCTCACTGGCACCGCCAAGGGAAGCAGGGATGGAGGGATGGAGGAGCGTGCCCAGCTGGAGAGGTAGGTGAGGGGAGGCCAGTGGCGGAGGCAGTGGCGCAGAAGGAGAGAGGTGACTCGCATGGTTCGACATGGTTCGACATGGTTCGACAGCGAGAGAGACAGAGGGCTGCTGCATATCGCCCCGCGCCCCTGCCCCAGTACCTCTTCCTCTGAGGCAATGAGGGATTTGAGAGCCTGGTCCATGGTCCGCAGCTCTTCTTCCAACTGTCTCACTCGGCTGGGGTGGAAGAGGGGCACCCCGGGCAGGGGACAGCAGAGAATATGGTCAAGGATGTGTTGCTGACGGGTTGGCACCCCTCTGTCCCCAGCCTGCGATCCCAAGGACCACCCCAGTGACAAACCCTGCCACCCTGGGGAGGGACATCCCCATCCCCACGTCTGCCAGGGGTTTGGGGCAAGGGCTTTGTAGGACCCCCACACACTGCCCACTGGGAACCCATCTCACCTCTCTGCCACCTCTGCCCTCTCCTCTGAGCGCTCCAGCTCTCCCTCAAGGACGACCAGCTTGCGGGCAACCTGTTGATGGCAGCAAGAGGCATGTGTTGGCCCTGCGCTTGCCCCAGCTGGGGGCACAGGGCCGTGAGAAGGCAGCTCTAGGTGCTGCTGGGAGGTCAGGACTGGGGAACGGGGTGCACACCTCTTCATATTTGCGGTCAGCCTCTTCTGCTATATGCTTTGCCTCCTTCAGTTGCATTTCCTGGAGCTCCATCTTCTCCTCATCTTTCATGGCCCTATTTTCGATGACCTTCATGCCTCTGAGGAAAGACGAAGCCAGAAGACATTACTGCTATGGGTCAAGGTGGGACCTGCACCTCCCAGCTGCCCACCATAACCTAACCCCATCACCCTCCAGGTCCAGAGACATGGGACATTGTCCACCCCATAAGTAGGGTCGCAGTACCCCAAAAATGCACCTGTGCACAATTACAGCAGCAGAGCTGGCCCCAGGGCCGTGGTCCAGAGTGAGGAGCTGCCCCTCAATCAGGCAGGTCCTGAGCCCATCTTTGGGGGTGGAAAAAGTGTGCAGCCCAGGATAAGCCATCCACAACTTCCACAAAAAAAGCAGCCTAACAGGCCAGCAGCCTTTAGGAAATGCTAGAAAGCATCCTGCGGCAAAGCCTCATCTCATTCAGGGTGATGCTTACAAATATTGGCAAATCCACACAGAATGGACTCCTGGCGACTCTCCTCCTCTCACTCAGATGCTGTTGCTCAGACTAGTCTTTGCTAATGGAGGGAAGAGCTCACATAACTGTTGGTAACGCTGCGACGTGTCTGGGCACTCCCACACAACCTGAGTGCCCCTGCCTGCACAGCTCCTGTCCAGGAAACCTGCTTGACATGAGGACGGGGTAACATACTTTCTAAGGCTGTTTTTTTTGAATGAAGCTGTTTTGTTCTCAACTTTGACCTTAGTTACCAGGCACAGACATTCCCTCCTCTGCTGTTGTTGAGCCCTTGAGCATAGGAAGCTGCACTGGGGAAGAAAACAGGCTCCAAGATCCCTCTGGCTTCAGTTACAGCCCCGTATTTCCATAAATACCAGATCAATTTTTCCAGGACTTTATGTGTGCTCTGGAAATGTCAATCTCTTTTAGAATGCCTATATCTGGGAGACTTCTTTGCATTGTGGCTTTGCTCTCTCCCTTTGGAGTCTGCACGAAAACCAACACAAACCCCGCAAGGACATTTCAGATGGGCTCCACTGCAAAACCAAGGGAGCTGCCTGCCATCAATGGTGAGCTGATACCACTCCCACTGTCCCTTTCCATCACACCTTTCACTCTCATCAGCAGCCTTCTCAGCCTCCTCTAGCTTCTGCAGGGCAGTGGCCAGGCGCTCCTGGGCTCGGTCCAGCTCTTCCTCTACCAGCTGGATACGGCGGTT